CCACCCGGCCCCACCCCACTCACGCATAGGCCTCGAAGTCCCCGTTGTTGACGGCCTCGATGAGCTGCTCCGTGATCTTGATGATCTCCTGCTTGCGGGCTGGGGGCACGTCACTGTCACCGCCACCGCCCCAGCCCCCCGGTGACACCGTGGGGGTGGGCGGACAGGATGTTGGGATGGACGTGGGACATGAAGGGGAGGCATGGGGATAGACACAGGGACAGAAAGACAGATCTTGGGGGAAGGAGAACCTTGGGTACAGACAGACAGACCATGGGGATGGACCATGGGGACAAACACAGGGACCTTGGGGACAGACAGACCGACCATGAGGGCAGACAGCCAGACCACAGGGACACACAGGGACCTTGAGGACAGACACAGATACCATGGGGACAGACAGACACCCCTTGGGGACAGATAGGCACCACTGTGCTCCCAGGACCCCCACAGTTCTGCCACACCAGTATTCATAGAATCCTCTCAGCATGTCTCATTGCTAGTCCAGTGCCACCCCTGCATGTCCCAGTGCCATCCAGTGCCCTCCCAGCATGCTCAAGCATCCCAGTGCCTGCTCAGCATGTCTCAGGAGTTTCAAGTGCATCCTAATGTTACTCCTGCAAGTCCCAGTATATCCCAGTGCCATTCTAGCACATCCCAAAACAGCCAGTTCCATACCAGTGTTTCTCAGTGCCAGCCCACTGTGTCTCAGTGCCATTCCAGTGCATCTCAGTACCCTCCCAGTTCCATGCAAATGCATCCCGATACATCCCAGTGCAATCCTAGTGCATCCCAGAGCTGCTCCAGTGTCCTCCGATGCATCCCAGTGCATTACAGTACACCCCAGTTCCAGCCTAATGCAATCCTACTGCATTCCAGTGACAGCCCAGTACACTTTAGTGCCATTCCAGTGCCATTCCACATCTCAGTCACATCCCAGGGTGATCCAGTACCATTCCAGGGCATCCCAATATACCCCAGTTTACACGAATACATCTCATGGCCATCCGACTGCACTTCAGTGCAATCCAGTGCCAACCTACTGTGTCCCAGTGCCCTTCTCGTATATTCCAGTTCATCCCAGTTCCATCCCAGTGCATCCCAGCATCATGCTGTTCAATTCCAGTGTGTGCCAGTGCAATTCCAGTGTGTTCCAGTATCATTCCAGTGTACCACATCCCACTATATCCCAATGAGTCATTTCATCCTGATGCCATCCCAGTCACCTCAGTTTCAATCCTAGTGCATCCCAGTGCTATTCCAGAGCATACCAGTACATTCCAGTTTGCCCTGGTGCATCCCAGTAATATCTCACTGCATCTCTGTGCCAAGCTCCTGTGTCCCAGTGTTATTGCAGTGTATCCAAATACATCCCAGTACCATTCCAGTTAATTGCAGTACCATTCTAGTGCATTCCAGTATCCTCAGTTCCATCCAGTGCATCCCACTGCCACTCCAGTGCATCTCAATTAATCTTAGCACCATTCTACCGTATCCCAGCGCTCCCCAGTCCATTCTTTTGTTACCCTAATAAATTCCAATCCTCAGTGCCACTCCACTATATCCCAGTTTGTGCCAGTGCATCTCACTGTCACTCCTATGCCCTCCTAGTGCATCCCAGTGTCACTCCTGTGCATTCCAACGCAGCCCATTTCCATCCCAGTATGACCCAGCACTACTCCAGAGTGTATCAGTACACTCCAGTTTGTGCCAGTGACTTCACACTACATCTTAGTGCCAACAAACTGTGTCTCACTGCTATTCCAGGGCATTCCATACATCCCAGTACAGCCCAGCTCTACCCAGAGTGCCTCTTGGTACCATCCCACTGTGTCCCAGTATCATCAGGCATCCCAATGCCACCTCAAGCCTTTTCCATGTACCCCAGTTGCCATTCCATGCGTGTCCCAGTCTATACAATTCCCATCCAAGTGCACCCCAACGCATGCTAGTACCCTCCCAGTGCATCCCAGTGTGCTCCCAGTGCATCCTGGTGCAATCTCAATGAATCCTAGTGTCAGTCCAGCTCCAGCCTAGCACACTCCAGATCCATTCCAGTGCATTTGAACGTTCTCCCAGTGCATCCCAAAAATGTCCCAGTACAACCCCAATGCGTACTGCTGCCATCCCTGTGCCATTCCAGTGTACTCCAGTGAATCCTAGCACTGTCCCAGTGCCATCCCAATGTATCCTGTTGCCATCCCAAATCTCACCCAGTGCATTCCACTGCTGCCCCAGCACATCACAGTGCACCAACTGCATCTTGGTGACATACTAGCTCCACCCCAGTTCATCCCAGTTCATCCCAGTGCAATCCAAGGCATCCTAGTGCTAACCCGATGCATTCCAGCTCTATTCCAATGCACTCCATTCAGCACACTTCCTGTGTCCTAGCACCACCCCAACAGATCCTGGTGCCATCCCAGTATATTCCAGTGGCATCCCAGTGCATCCCCATCACAGTCTCAGCATATCCTAGTGCCATTCCAGTGTACCCCAATGCATCCTTGTGCCATCCCAGTTCCATCCCAGTGTATTTCAGTGCTGCTCCAGTGCATCCCAGTGAACCAAATGCATTCTGGTGCTATGCCAGTGCCATCCCAGTGCCATTCCAGTGCACGTTAGTGCATCTTAGTGTCATCCCAGCACATCCCAGCTCCAGCCCAGTGCATTCTAGCACACTCCCAGTGCATCCTGGTGCCATCCTAGTGCATTCCACAACTGTCCATCATAGTGCCATCCCAGTTCATCCCAGTACCATTCCAGTGCACCTCAATGCATACTGGTGCCATCCTAGCACCATCCCAGTGCATTCCAAGACCTTCTCAGTGCATCCCAGTGCCATTCCAGTGCAACCCAATGCATCCTAGCACCACACCAGTGCACCCCAGCTCCCTCCCAGTGCAACCCAGTGCAACCCTGCCACCACGCCCCCTGCGCCCGTCACCTTTGGTGTCCTCGTCCTCAATGGTGGTGTTGGTGCTGTCGGAGGACTCCTGCTCGCGGGACGGAGGCGGTGGGGGGGAGACACAAACAGGGGGGTCAGACCTGGCCCCGGGGGAATGGGGAGGGGGGACAAGCCCAACCAGGGCTTGGCAGGACCCCAGTGATGCTGGACGCCATGGGGGTACCCTGCTGTCACCACGCCCCATGTGCACTCCTCATCCACGTCACCACCCCCCCAAGACATGGCTGATGCTGGGGGAGGATGGAGGTGGAAAGCAGGGGCAGCGATACCTTGGTGCCGTCCGGGGGGTTATGAATTACAGTAGTTTGAGGCTCCTACGGGAGAAGGGAGAGAGACAGAGGCGGGGGTGGGGGAAGCGAGAGCCCGGAGGGGACAACGAGGGGGAACGACGGATTGAGCAGCACGTGGACAGGGGTGAGGAGAGACCCAGACCGGATTTGGGAAGGGGATAGAGAGGGGGGAGAGAAGCAGAAAGTCATTAGTCCAGCAAAGCCAAATGGTTTAATTCACAGACATGGAGAGGGGAAAAAAGGGGAGAAAGAGGTGGACAGAGCTGGGGGAGAGACGCAGTGAGGCCAAAAGGATGGGCTGGGCTGGAGGGCAGCTCCATGCCCCTGTCCTGCATCCCGCTGCCCAGGGGCTCCACTCACCGTGCATCTGAGCATCCTGGGCCTCCCTGTGCCTGAATCCAAACCATCCTGCAGCCTGCATCCCAACTATACCACTGTCTGCATCCCAACCACTGCACTGCCTGCATCCCAAGCATCCCTTGGCTTGCATCCCAACCGTCCCTGTGTCTGGACCCTGACCATCCCAGTGCCCACATCCCAGGCAACCCCATCCACAGCTTCCCACTGCCTGCATCCCACCCTCACTGTGTGGGGTGGGCACCCCTTTCTCCATATCCTGCACTCACTGACCAGCCAGGCACATCTTCCCCAGTGCACAGCACTCTGTGACAGCTGGGCATCATCCTGCCTGTATCCTGCCCTCAGGTACCATGTCCCTGCCCTTGTACTGCATCCCCTGTGCCATGAAGGTCACAACGGTCACCCCTGCAACCACATCCTGCATCTACCTTGCTGTTGGCATTGCCAGAGCACCCACCCCCAAATCCTGCACCTGCTGTTCGAGACAGCCACACCTTTACTTGTGTCCTGCACTCCCTGTGCCAGCTGGGCAGTCCTGTGTCTGGATCTTACCTCACCTGTGAGGTCACAGTCAGCAGCCTCATCCTTGTGACCCTGCACTTCCCTTGCCACTGCCATGGCAGGGTGTCCCCATCCCCCAACCGTTCACGCACCTCACCATCCGTGTCACCAGGATCCTCCTGCCTGTGGCTTGTCCCCATTATGGGGCACCTACCTTGTTGCCATGGTGGGGCACCCCCATACTCATGTCCTGTACCTGCCTCAGTCACAGGACATCCTCATGCCCACATCCTACACCCACCTTACTGTCCCCATGGCAGGAACATTTCTGTGTCCATGTCCTGGACCTACCTTGTCCCTGTGGTGGGACACGACTGTGTCCTGTACCCATGCCACTGTCCCCATGGCTGAGGGAGACAGGGCCTGTCCACATGCCTGCACCCTTCACCCACCTTGTCTGTCCAGGGGGGTCACCTTGTGCCCATGTCCTGCACACCCCTTTCCATCCTCGGGACACTCCCCTCCCCAGCAGCCCCAGGAACAGCCGGTCAGGGGCACGCATGGCGATGGATGGGATGGGCTGGTGGGATGGATCCGATGGGATGTGGGATCTAGGGGGTGCAGGGTAGGGGGCACCTACCAGAGCGGTGGGCGGGAGGGTCCCCTTGGGGCTGGTGACGCCAGCACTGCCTTTGGTGCTGTTGGTCTGGGGCTGGAGGGAAGAAATGGAAGGGTGTCAGT